AATCGATTATCACATTCTGATAATCGACTGTTGCTCAGCTTTGTTACAAAAATCTGCAGAACGATGAATAATCGATTTTCAAGTTGATAATCGATTATCCATCGTCTTCTACCTCGAGCCAACTTGCGGAAATGTCACTTTTACTCACCAAACTTCAATTAAAGTATATAAAAATGTTCTCCAAGGTTTATGGATCATTTTAGCATCATTAATTCATAATTTTAACATCAATTTCATGGTTTATGATTTTTAGTTCTTCAAGCATGTCAAACACAAAACTCAACCAAATGACCATTTATGAACGTAGAAACGACCTATATGAACATTCTAGTCATTAGATATATCTAGGGGCTTACCTCGAAGCTTAATGGAGGTTTTGGAATTTTTCCGGTGAAACTTCCGGCGAACACCACAGCTTGCTCCGGCAACTTGACACCAAATTGGTAGTACTGAAACGCTCCTCACACTCAGCTCTTTCTATTGGGGTAAGGATGATGAAAAATGGTGGACAAATTGGGGGTTTATAGTAGAGGGTTAGTAGAAGAAGCCATGGGTGTCCTTGTTCCCTGTTCCAGCGGCTGAGTGGAGCAAACGGCGATCTTTTACGGGTTTTAAACGTAAGTCCCTGATTGGGACTAATTTGGGACCCAGTCAGGTACACTTTTTGGTCCAACTTTCTCCAAATTAAAATCCGATTGAACCGTTGCGGTCAGACAGTCAAACTCTACATAACGATATAATTTTTATTATTTATTGACAAACTTTATAATTCATATATTTTTGGGTCCTTCTCAGTAATTAATTAATTATCAATTAATTAATTCTGATAGGCCTATTTTTGGGGCGTTACAATTATTTTGGCAAAGAAAGTAAAATTTTAGTATTCAATTCACTTGTAAAATATTCCTTACCCAACTTACCCATCTTGTTGACTATTTCATTAAACCTTCTATTGGCATCTTGGATTGACTCGTGACTCGTGTTGACCAAATTTGAAACTTTCATACTCCGAGTTTCCGAGGGCCAACATGGTTTGCTTTGTGGAGGTGTCGCCTTCATGCGTGGCTTGAAGCATTCCCATACCTCCTTGGCCGTTTTGCACGAGCATACACGTGCGAACTCATCGGGTCCAAGAGAGCAAAGAAGGATGTTAATCGCCTTTGCATTTATTGACAATTTTCTTTTGTCCTCGGCCGTCAATCCTGCAAAATTATCATTTCTTGGCACAAATGGCCCATGAAGTACATTTAACCATAAGTCAAAATCAATGGATTGAATAAAGTATTCCATCTGCATTTTCCAATAAGAGTAATTTTGACCATTAAAGAACGGGGGCGATGAATGCTTTGAGAATCCTTTGTGGCCATTTTTTTTATTTAAAAAAATCAGGGATAATAAAGTTTTGAGATTTAAAAAAATTCAAATTTAAAAGGGGCACAACAAGTGGATCTTTGTCGTAGATGCGGTTAAGCACTTTCAACTACGAAACCATTCCGATACAACTTGTTAGTCGGTTCTAGTCGTTGCGCCCACGCCTTAGAGGGGGTGAATAATGCGCATGAAAACTTTTCGGAGTTTGATAAAAATGGTGTTGGCAATTGTGGAAGCAGTATATAAAACGCAAAAATAAAAGTGTAAAGTAAAATGCACACCGATTTTATACTAGTTTGGGAACTCCCTACTCCAGTACCTCGAGGCTCCTCCTAAAGGATTTCCGAATCCACTAAGTCCCGGTCTCTTGAACTCCATCAAAGTACCGCACTTGTTTGGCAAACAACCCTTGCCAATAGGATTTACTTCGAGATTTCACCACGGCTATCTCGAACCGTTTACAATGAAGATTTAACGGCTATCTTCTACCGTTCCCCCAAGGATTTCAAAGGCTATCATTGAACCTTTACCCAAGGATTTATACGGCTATCCTTAACCGTTACAACGTGAGAATTTAACGGCTATTCTCGACCGTAAGAAGGTGTGTTTGAAGAACACAAACAATGATTCTACACAACAACTAGAATATAAAAATGAAGAACAAAACTTAGCCGGTGTAGAAGGAAATTATACTCGCTCAAAAATACAATACAAACTTATGAATATGAGAGTAAGCTCAAAGTGTGCATAAAAATCAGGAATTTAAGGCTCTTGAAATAGCCAAAATATTGAAAATAATGAATAAGAGAATATAATGAACACACTAAGAATAAACAGGGAGGATGTTTAGAGCTTTGTTTCTTGGTGAAATATGAAGTACTGGGCCTATATTTATAGTGGAAGATGTTAATTAGCCGTTGGGAGGTGATTAGGGTTAATTTAATTTAAAAATCAACAATCAGGAATAGTGTTCCAATGGTAACGGTACCCTGTCACAGTAGCTAGGTACCGTACGGTAGCTAGCTACCTTCTCAGGCCAAAACTCTCTGGCGGTACCTGTCCTCTTATGGTACCCCTTCTGGTAGGGGGGTCCCGGGCTGACGGTAGGGGGTACCTTCTCAGATTGACTCACGGTACCCCTCACGATACCAAGGTACATAGTGAACAAACGTGAAACTCTTATATTGTTTGTTAACATCAAAACACGAGGCTTAGCAAACCAAGGCTAACACAAGGCACCGTGATGACAGGAAAAAATGCCGGGCAAGAAGTTGTTATTCCACGGTTGTCGCTCACACCGTCAGATGCAAGAATTCCTTTTAGATTTCAAAGGAAACAATTCCCATCATGACTTCATACTCTATGACAATTAACAAAAGTCAAGGCCAATCTTTGTCCCATGATGGATTGCTACTGAAGAAACCAACATTCAGTCATGGTCAACTCTATGTTGCAATTTCACGTGTTACAAGTCGCGAGGGTTAAAGATCTATATTTGCAATAAAGACCTTCCGTCATCAAACCAAACTACGAATGTAGTTTATAAAGAAGTGTTCCAAAACTTATAACACTGCATATCGACTACGGTCCTTCCTGTACACTATGTTATTTTGGGTATTTTTAATATAATTTGTTATCTTTTAATTTTTGTATCATTTTTTTCATATCATGACTAAATATAATTAATTTTACAGCCCGTGCATCGCACGGGTACGAGTCTAGTTAAAACTAAACAATACATTTGACAATTGACCACTTGTTGATGAAGAATGCACATACTGGCACTACAAGAAATTTTGTTTTTTGCCACACTTATTTTCCCACACATTTCTAAGGTGCTGTTTGTTTTTTCTGCAGAAAAAGGTCTGCAGTCTGCAGACCACATCTGCACACATCTGCAGGAGAAGAGGTGGACCAAAGGTCTGCAGTGTGCAAGAGGAAGACTGTTTATTTTTTAACTTCTGCAGATTGTTTAAAAAAACTGAAATTTAAAATAAACAGATTTTTAAAGCAATCAATATTTTTTAAACATTCAAATTTAAATAAGAGTTCTACAGCACTGAAATAACAACAATAGCATTTTTTAAAATAACAATAATAACAATATTTCAAATAATTTATTCATCCGGTGATGTTTGTTGGGTTGAAGTCCACTTATGCATCCAGTGGCAGCATTACCATCAAACAATTCTGCACAAAGCTCTGGAAAAGGCAATGGAACTGTTTTCAAGGATCCAGCCTTTGGATGCCCCTAAACCCAAAGTAAAAACAATTATTGGTTTTGTTTATAGTTAGATGTGAAAAAAGTATTCATAGTGATGGGATTAACCCGATCAGATGGCGGACCAAGAACGTAATGTGGATCAGAAAGATACAATCTCGTAGTAATATTCTTTGATTAAGTGCAGAATTGCTTGAGTCGTCCCCACAATGGCGGGTTCTTTTTTCTTTTATAGTACCTCTAACATTGTAATTCAAATTATACATAATGGGAGGGATTATGGAGATCATGGGGTTGTGATTCCCTCTTTCCCGGTCTCGTTCTCTCCCCATCTCGTCCATAATCTGGTGGTGTGGGCCATGTGTCCCGCTCCTTCTCTAGACTCGGTCGTCTTGATTTAATCCACGATTGGGCCATCCCTTTCCCATCTGCCATGCGCGTAGTAGCGGGCTCGGCCCGTTACCCCCACCTGGCCTTATCCATATTGTGCTATTATGGGCCTTTATTGGGCCTGGAGTCGGGTCTATCAGACCCGATATCCATCACAAGCCCCCTAGTTTTCTGGCGACGTGTCGCTAGAAAACTAATGATGAGCCGCCTTCGGGTTTCGTGTCGGATTAGAAACGTCGCACCCGAGTGCCTTGGGTCCCTCCTTGCAATGGATATAACCCCTTCCGGACTCGTCTTCTTCCTCCTTCGCTATCGAATTTCAACCCGACCCGAATTCCGATTGCGATTTTCCCCAAATTCTCGCTCCCTCCTCCGAAATGGCTCTTGTAGATCCCGCAACCTGGACCCATGAATCCTCTATCATCAAGGAGGATGAACTTCGTGAAGTGGCCTAGCTTCTGGGCAGAGGCTTCTAGGTCCACCATCCGGATGCTGTCGGAGGTATTAGCTTATCTCATAACCCAAACCCCTAGAAGTATATGGTCATGCACTACCACTCCGTGGAGAATGGGTTCAGATTGCACCTCCACGGTTTGGTTCGCGACATCTGCCACCATTTTGAATACGTCCCCGGTCAGTTGATTGCAAATGCGCACAAGTATGTCGCGTCCTACATCTTGCGATGCTGTGCCCTGGATAGAACCCCAACGCTGGACGAATTCCTCGTCCTTTTCAGTATCGGCGGTCCTTTTCCCTACTACAGTCTATTTCCTCATCCCCAATCTCCAATTTTTGAGATGGTTGAGTTAAAAATCGACAAGTGGGCACGCCGTTATTTCGTCATCGAGTTTCCAGTCCACAGCCCTATAGATTTTCTGGGCACTGTACGTCGTAGCTCTATCTCCCGAACACCGTTCGCTGCTATACCCCTGGCGGAGGCGGCATATAACATCTTGAGAGAGGAAAGGGGTTTGATTCCGCACCACTCCCTTTAGGATACCAAGCTATACAAGAAGGTGGATTTTTATTACCCTTTCGGTCCTGACCCCATTCCGTTTGAAGGGGTGTCTTCCCCTGAAAGGTCAAAAGCTCCTCCAGTTGTGGAATCCAACCCAGTTGGGAGCTCCTCCGGGAGCCAGGCCCAAGGCAACACCACTGCCTTGGCTGTTTGCAAATCACCTGCTGCCTTGGACGTCATTCCCATCTCTGCCATTCCTGGGCTAAGGAAACCCACGCCATCCTGGAAACGACCACGGGAAGGGGTCACCGACGATGATTTCCTTCCCAAGAAGAATAAAAGTGAGGGTATTCCTGTTTCGCTCAGCCCCCTGACCACATCTTCTGGTACCCAGAGTACCGCCTCTGCTGCCGCATCCGGAGGTTTGGAGTTACCCAACCCGGATAGCTTAGATCGTGAGGGGGATGGACTTCCGGACCAGTCAGCACTCACAAGACCTGCAGTGTAGCCTCAGCCTGAGGTGATCAATACCTCTCCACTAAGCGCAACCATTTCCCAATGGGTAGAGGGAGAGGCTGACAGACAGAAAGAGCCGGAGACTTCTCCTGCGAGAGAGAAGAAGGTTGAAGTGCAGAAAGAATTGGATGCCTCCTCCACGGTGGAGAAGGAAGCTGAAGAGCAAAGATGTGTTGGGGCTCCTCTAGAGACAGAGAGAGAGAGAGACTGAGAAACAACAAGAACCTGGGAAAACATCATTCCACTGTCACACCCCCAGCCTTCAATCTCCCCATCCAGCACAAGTTCACGCCGCAAACCTACCCTGCCTTTAAGGAGGGTTGGGCAGGCTTTTCCCGCGATTTGAACTCCTTACAGGCCTCCCACTAGACTATCCAGGCAAATCTAAAGAAGATGAGGGAATCAGTGCAGGAGCCTGCAATTCCCCAGGCATGCCCCGACTTGCTTGCCCTCAATGCTCTGCACTTCATGGAGCAGGTACTCTTCTTTTTCAAGAATCTCTTTATCCCTTTTTAGTTATCTCTTCCTTGACTTCCCTTCCCCTTTCCAGGCCCAACAATCACTCCTCACCCTGACTGAGGAGTACTTGGGTGGAGCATCAGGGAACTACCGGGCCGTAGTGGTCCTGAAGGAGAATGAGTTGGCTGTCAGGCTCTGCAACAGAAAGTTGGCAAATGGCTCAATGGAACTAGCAGCTGAAAGGTCCAGGGTCAAGTCCCTGCAAGAGCAGATTGCTATTTACAAAAGGGGGAGCCAGGATCTAGAAACGCAGTTTGACAGACTCCAGGCGCAAATTTCCATCCTAGGGTCAAAGGTCCCAGCTTCAGAAGACAAGGTAGGGAGTCTAAAGACTGAGTTGGTTGAAAGGGAGTCCCGGGTCTCCAAGCTGGAGAATTCCCTCCATGACGCCAAGCAGGAGGGCGCCCATCTCAACGATCTCGTGATAAAACACATAGAGGCGAAACGGCTTATCCTCGGGAAGTTGGAGAAAGAGAGACAGACTGCCAGCGAGCTCCGGTCAAGGATGGGTGAACTGGAGAAGACAATAGCTGCTCATCAAGGGGAGGTGGCTGCCCTGACCACCCGCGCTGAGGCCCTCTACGAAGAAGGGAAGTTTGATATGCAACACTGCATCTATGGGGCAATCCAGAGCGGTCTTCCGGAACACCGATCCTTGGATGACTTCATCTCTTACTATGGGTTACCTCTTCCTCTTCCCCCCCCCTAGATTCTCGTGCCAAACCGGGATCCTGATTCCTCAATCCATTGTTGTAACTCCTATTCTGTAATATTTAACCAGTAACAACTTGACAATGCTTGATGTGTTTCCGTCCTTGTTGACTCCTTTCGCTAATCTAACTGTTCTCCTTTTGGACTTCTTATTTCCCTTTAGGACTTAGCGAAAATTCTTTATCCGCATAGGCTTTGGGCTTAACCGCGTTTACAAAGTATTGTTGTGTTTTTTTTATCACCGCGTTAAGCGACTGGCCCAACTTAATCACGCCGGGCCCAATCACCTTAGCCCAGCAATGAAACGGTACAACCCTAGCTTCCCTCGGGAATCCGCAACTGTTTCTCCAATCGGATAAGTGCTTTGACTCTGCATTCCTTGCACTTCTCCTCTAGGATTACTCGTCTATTTAAGGGGCTAGGCTGATCCCCTTCACAATCACAATCAAATCCTCAACATGGCTGATAATGCCAACAGAGTTGTCTTTATTGATCTTACTATTTCCGATTCTTCTTCTGATTCTTCTTCGTTGGCATTCCCCTCACTTGGGGCCCCAACACCTGAACTCTCTTCTGGGCCTTCTCTCACCTCTGAACAATCGGTGACTTCTCCCTTGCCCAGGGAGGAGAATCACCCTCATCTCCCCCAACTGGCATTAGGGGGTGCTCTTCCGGGTTCCAGCGCCCCTCCTAACGATGCCAGAATGGAAGTTTCTTCTGGCTGTCCTGGCACGTCCCGTCCGCAGAAGAGACACAATCCCCACTCGGGAGCTTCCCGGTTGGTCTCCGGCGCGAGGCCTTCCTCCCAAGGTTCTCCCTCTCCTCAGCAGTCATATGGACAACACCTTGAGGAGTGGGGGGATTATGACATGGGGGGAAACAGGCATCCGTCTACCCGGAGGGAAAAGGACGAAACCTTCCAGGATCTACCTCCCCCTTCGGCCTAGGCGGAACGATGCCGTAAATCCTCCTCTCATGTCTCATCGTTCTCCTTGTCCGCCTTCATGGAAGTGACTGAAGGGCGTCCACGGGGAATGGTTTTCAATCCCACCCGTTGGTACCCTTTCGTTTTCTGTTTCTTTTGAAGGATGCATCAGGAGGATGATGGGTTCTCCCCACACCTTCCTGCTCTGGCATTCTTTCTGGTCCAGGCGGGGCAACAAGGGTCAGCGGATTCGCTCCCTCTACCACACCGTTCCTCCTGGACCCTTGAAGTGCCGTTTCACCTTCATATTTTCTTTTTTAGTAGTAGGATAAAAGTAAATCAGGGACAAAGTTCATTGTTGTAACCCAAAAGAATGTAATTTTCTACTTGAGTTATTTAATGAAAATCTTTATCTCCCGTCTCTTTAATGTTTTATTGTTAGATCAGGGATAAGGTCCATTGTTGTAACCCAAAAGAACGTAATTTTTTATTCGAGTTACTTAATGAAAGCCTTTATCTCCTGTCATTTAATATAAGTATGTTGTGCGTGCCGCCATCTGCATGGAGTAGAAGTCTATATATATTTTAACTCCTTACCTTCTAAGGATGACATCTTTCCCAAAGTGCAGATGGGCCCAATCAACCGACCCATGCACTTAAGTGGCGAAAAACCCTGGTCAAACATTAGGAATCTTCAACCGCTTCATTCACCAATTGCTTAGTCTTTCACGTCTTCTAACCACATTCATTATTTCCCAACCATCCCTTCCCCCTCCACTATAAACGGGAAAGGGTGGTTTGCTGCTAGTTCATCCCTTTCTGATTTCTTCGCCATGGCGAGTAAATCCCAGAGTGAAGTCGTCTTGGATGATGATTTCTTCGCCTCTCCGGCTCAATCCAACGACATGGCTGGGCTGAGTCCCGGCGAATTCTCAAGGCTATATCCGGCACTCCGTCTTCTTGTACCATCTCATCCTAGTCCACCCAGGCTTCCATCCGGGAGGATAGACTGGGACTCTATGACCCTCCAAGACTTCGCCTTGTATCAGAGGATGCGCAGGGCTAAACTTGGGCGTTCTTTGCCGTCTGTCGAGGCGGAACCTTCACGTGAAAGCCGGACTGCTTCTCCAAACTTGCTGAAGTCTCTCAATGAAAGTTCTTCATTGGGAGCACCAGCTCCCCGTCCTGGGACGTGGGAAGACTATGACATAGAGGAGGCGGCTGATTCTGCCGCGTGCCCCTCGTCGAAGGGAAGGAGCCCATGGAAGGGGCCCCCAACTCCTTCCTGTTGACTGCATGGATGCAATAGGCCCTCCTTCAGTGCCTAGCCCCCTGCAAATTAAATTTCTTCTCCTTGTTTTATTTCAGGAGGCATTCACTTGTTGGGTCCAGGAGTTTTCCTGCGTCCCATACTAAGGAATGTCCTACAATTTCAGACTAGGAATTAACGTTGTAATTCAGAGATACAACCTCCGAATTAGGAATCGATGTACTCTGCATTTTCTGGTTTTTTATCTCATTAGGAACCATAATTGTGAACCAAAACGTAAACTTTGGCCCATCAATGTGGTCCTTAATGTTTATTTCTTTGCACTTTTACTAATGCAAGTCCATATTTCATTCTCTGTATACAATCTCATCCCCCGGGGTTTGGACATGCCATGGGAACTTACCTCACCTGCCCCTGACCTCCTTTCTTCCGGGTTAAGGCATTATCTTATCTACCTTAGATCAGTTGAGCTTCAACCCTCGAAGTTTGCTTGCCCGATTGATCTGTGCTGGTGGAGTACTAAGCTTCAGCCCTCGAAGTCTGCTTGCTGCTCTTCCCAAATTCCAGGTTGTAAAGGCCCTCAAAGTCCAATCCCAACCCTTCCTTCATTTTTGACGGAGGCATAATGTAACGCCCCAAAACATACCCTAAAATTTTTAATGAATAAATATTCAATTAGTCAAATTTGTTTCGCTTAAAATAAATAGTTATTGGGCTTTGGGCCGAAATGAAATGTGTTTTGACATCCTATATCACAAATCAGGATAAGTCTCATAGAGATAAATCCAATATGATGAATATTTGTGTGGTCTTGATTGGGAACATAAGTACAGACCCAAATCAAGAATAAATAAAGAAATTATTTATAATATGAACTTTAAAATGATTTATTGAAATAAATCATGAGAACAAATGATATGAATTAAATGTGAGAACCTTTTTTAATAAAGGTCAAATAAACCAATTTTGACTCTGTCAAAGTCAAACACTCAAAAATATGATGTCGGAAAAAGTATAACGAATGAATATAAAAATTATATCGTTGGATAGAGTTCGACTGTCTGATCGCAACGGTGCAAACGGATTTCAATTCGGAGAAAGTTGGACCGAAAAGTGTACCCCGACTGGACCAAAAATTAGTCCCAATCAGAGAGTAACGTGCTGAGTCTCCTTAAGTCGCACTATCACCGAAAGAAGAACGTGAAGTTCCTACGCAGCATCTACTCAGACTTTGTTTCCTTCTTCTTCATCTTCCCTATAAAAGGAGAAGCTAACTCCCTCATTTCTTCACCATTCTTCTTCATTCTTCTTCCTAAATGTTCATGAAAGTGTGAGGAGTGTTGTGGTGCTGTCAATTTGGTGTGAAGTCGCTGGAGTTGGGAGAAATACTCGCCGGAAGTTTCGCCGGAAAATTTCCAAAACCTCCATTAAGCTTCGAGGTAAGCCCGTAGATATATCTAATGACTAGAATGTTCATATAGGTCGTTTCTACATTCATAAATGGTCATTTGGTTGAGTTTTGTGTTTGACATGTTTGAAGAACCAAGAATTATAAACCTTGAATTTGATGTTAAAAATATGTTTTAATAATTCTAATATGATCTATGAACCTTGGAGAACATCTCTATATAGTTTAATTGAAGTTCGGTGACTAAAAATGGTTTTCCCGAAAAATGGACCGAGGTTGAAGACGAATGAACAGTGGCTGAAAATCCACAGAGTGGATCGATCCCCTTCATTGGATCGATCCTCTGGGAGTTTTTCTTCTAGTTGGATCGATCCAGAGGGCTGGATCGATCTTCCGAAACTCTGGTCCGAAATTTTGTCTGAAATTGCTATTTTTGAGCTTTAAAATCCTATTTTTGATACCAATTGATTATGATTATTATAAAAATGATTTTTCATAACAAAAATGATGTTTTTAA